CATTGTGCATCACTTGCTTTGTATATCATTATTATTATTAATTATTATTATACTGTTACTATTATAATTCCTATTTTACTTTATTTCAATTATTAAACTGTTCTTATCTCAACCCAGGAGTGTTTCTCACTCTTACTCCTCTGATTCTCCCCCCCATCCCATCGGGGTAGGGGGAGTGAGCGAGCGGCTGCGTGGGGCTGAGTTGCTGGCTGGGGCTAAAACACGCCAGATAACTACCTTGTATGTTCTGAGAATGTAATAATACAGAAAAGTACAAATAGACTTTGTTTATTGTGGGACTTCTTCCTTTTACATATATTTTTCATTAGAAAAATGGGGAAAGAAGAATCTCTATGGCTTAAGGGATTTCCCCTTGAGCAGTCCTCAAGTTATGGCAAACCCATGTTCTAAGACTGTTCAATAATTTCAATTCATTTAGACAAAACACTCACCATAACCATTTCCTCACATTCTACTGTGGGTTTTTTCAGGGTGGTGGGGGTTTGTTTTTTGTTGTTGTTGGTGGTGGTTTTTTGTTTGGTGTTTTTTTTTTTTTTAAGTAGAGTCATAACATTGGAAGAAGCCTTAGCCTGACTTACGCTCTCACCCAGTTAGTTCTGCTGTGCTAACCCAGAACATCCATATATACCTCTCACAGTGCTGCTGTCCTTGTTGCTTAACCACTTTTCTTAAAGCTGCCTGAAGTTGAGACTCCAGTTTGCTGCAGATATTATTGGTAGGACTGCTCTGTAACTTAAGGTACTTAGTCTTCACATATCCTTATTGTTGCAGTGCATCAATATTTCCCTTTTCCCCTTCAGTGCTATTATTAGCTCTTCTCAAATGTAGGCATTGGTACAAGTTACATGACTCAGCTGAGATTTTAAAAAGTCAAACAGTAAGGAGTTAAACATAATGTAAACATGACTTAAATAGTGGCATTCCTGGAGAATGTTTGATTTGTACCACTAGAACAGGCTGAAACAAACTGTCAGAATCAGTCATTTACAGTGTTCTCCAGGAATCTTCACAGCAGTTCTCTTGTGAGTTAGCTCACTGCCCTTTCTGGGGGAGAAGAAAGGAAAGATTTGTTCTCAGAGAGATAATATGCTTTTTTTATCTTGGCCACAGCTCACCTTTTGTCTCTAGCTTCTAGAATTACAAATGATATTTAATTAGTTGGATCAGCTCCATGTGAAAGAATAGCTATTGCTGGATGATTCAGAAGAAATCTCAAAATTCAGTAGAATAGTTACATCTGTCTGCCATAATATTGAGAGTAATAAGGTGTTTTTCTTCTTTGACAAACAATAATTAACAGTTTCCCAGTTTATGAATTATGGCCTTTCTGCTTTACATGGGATTCAGTGAGAATATATATTTTTTTTCATTCTCTCTGAGGCTAACTGTAGATCATGTATAGAGAAATCACAAGCATAGAGTTACAGAATCTGGAAGTCTTAAGCACTAAAAGCAAGTCAGGCTTCAGACAGCCTTTGTACTTTTCCATTATCTTTTATACTTCTTAGTAGCAGCAAAGAACCTTGTTACTGAGCAGCTACTGGATTTCACTAACCACAGATTTGATAGGGATGTTGTATAGGAAATTAGTGGAAGATAGTAATGCAAAAAAAAAAAAAACCACCCCAAACAAAAAACAACAAAACAAAAACCACAGCAAGCTACACACATAAAGGTACTGCTTTGCTTACTACTGAAGTCACAGGGTATGAGAAGTTCTTTAATCCAGCACTATAAACTGTATAGCTAAAGCAGTTTTTCCTTCACACACACTTTTTGCCACAATCCAGAGAAACAGTACCTCAAAAGCAGAGACCCTCAAACTTACTTAACAAATTGGAGTACATAAAAAACTTGTAGTGTTAAAGTTATTTCTGTAGCCAAAAACATGTTTTACTTTTCCTCACCTCAAAAAGAAGGTCTCCTATGGTATAATACAAGCAGATTGAGATTAGTTTAATTTATTGCTTGTTTATCCCTTACCTGTAAATCAGCACATCTTAAACCTTGTCTTATTTGCTAAAACAAAGTATCTATAGTAGACTAAACTTCTTCAGGTAACTAACACTGTAGCACAGCAGTGGGGTTTTTCCTCCATTTATATAACAGCTGGGTTAATGTCTGCATATTTATTTCAGCAGCTAACAAGTTGTACTGGCTCAAGCTGTAGTCCTTTGTCAATTAAAGGCAGTCAGTTTGTCTTAAAGCTCACCTGTAATCAAGTTGATGAGATACATATGAGAAAAGGACTCAGATGGTGTCCTTAATAAATTGAATTGCATAAATCTGCAGTTAAGCTAATATATGTAACTTGAAGTTTTGGGTTTCTTCTAAAAGCCACAAATTCTAGAAGAATGGTGATTGTATATTAGGTTTGCAAGTAAAGATCAACACAGAGCTTCATTTTGCATTTTAACTAATGTAGAGAACCATTAAAACTCAGGATTAAGGTAAAGAAGTCTTAAAGCCTAATACTACTGTTTTGTTCACCTATGTGTTTGGCCAGTACAAATCTACATTGATTCTTGAGGTGGTCTGTTGCTATAGCATTAAGTTATTTTCTCTTTCCACTCTAGGTGGTTCATTCTGCTTTGTTTCCAGCTTGCTAGATAGGTATTTGGGCAAAATGGTTCTTATAGAACCGTGTAAATCTACCATATTCTTACATTCATATGTTCTGTTTGTATTTTGAAACTTCATTTGAGAGTGTTGTGTAGTTCAACTCTTGCTTTCATTTGCATTCTTTTTCTATATTTGGTATCTTTAGGTAGTTATTCTCACTTAATAAAATGGGCAACTGTTTAGAGCTGGGTGGCTCACTTCAACTCACTGAGGTATTTTTATTCTTTCTTTTCAGGAACTGATTGACATAAAGATGCTGCAGTGTAAGAGGGTTATAAATGGCAAGTATATAATTTATTTTAATATCTGTAAGCATCCTTTTTTCTAGTTAAAAGATAATTATTTCTCTGAAGTAATTTTATAGTGCTTACATTGAGGTATCAGTGCATGTAATGTCTCTGAACAGTGTCTAGGGACTTAAAATAAGCTTTTGAAGCTCTACCTTACACCTGTCTGCTGCTCTACAGTTTTAAACTTTCAGTTTCTCTTCCTAAGGAATGTCAATAGTTCAGTTAGTGTCCCTCAGGAAAACCACAAATGTTTTTTGAGGATAGGGCTAATGTATTAGTAACTGACAGTTTGTTATTCTTTTTAGGCCCTAACAACAAGGTCTTTCAGCATGGTTGACTTAGCTTATTACAAGGATTTGATGAATTTTGTGTTAAACTCGTTGACAGAGGTCAGGTCACTGGGTGTGCAGGTATACGCCTTCTAAAGTGAAAGACTTTATAATTCTAGCTCCTGGAATTATGTCTTTCTCTTTTTATTAAGAAAAATGGAATCAGTGTTGGAAATACATTACTAATGTTTCAGCATCATGCTTCCTGGCAGCAGGTGAAAGAAGGGGCTAGCTGGAATAGACAGGACGTTAAAGTTTCAGTGCATTGTTTAAAATATTAAAGCTTTTAGTTTTATGTGGGTTAAAAAGATGGATAATAAAACTATAATTCAGATAACCCTCCTCAATTCTGTATCTACATACTGGCTTCAGAGTCTCATTCTCTACTGCCTTCATATGCTATTATAATAAAGAATAAACAGTAAAAAACTCTTGTTTTGCTTTGGGGTTTCTTGTTGTTTTTTTTTTTTCCCACCCCCGAAATTTTACATGTGTATGTGCTAATATAAAATCTAATTTCCTGAGCAAAACTACTAATATTTAGTTATAAAGCCTTTTAATTTTTCAAGAAAAGTTTGATAGTGTCCAAGAAACAAGTTCAAAGACAGTTTCCAGTCATGAGTCTTTATAAATGTTAGCTGTTTGTGACATAATAATATACACACCTTTTAGTCTACTGCAATAAGGAAGCAAGACATACAAGATTTCACTGTTTATCATTCTTTTATTAATTTGCGGTCCATGGGCTAGATTTGGCCTAACATGATTTTCATGGACAAGTTCTTAAAAAGATATCTATGAGACCTCCCCACCTGAGTGGCATGAGAAATAGTTGTTTATAGTGTCCCTGCTGGGGAACAGAAGTCCACTACAAATCTACTTTTCCCTCCTGCCCCTTCCCAATAATGGTACTGTCATGTTCATTCTGTCCGATTAATCATTAGACTTGTTCTGGTGCCGATGCTTGCTCAAGAAACAGGCTGGGGGGTGATTAAAGAATACTATGGAGGGAAACAGCAATGTGCAAGAAATGTACTGCAAAGACATATAGGAGGCAGGGTGCCATTAGTTCTGTTGTTCATGGAAGACTTATTTGATAGCATTTCATTTACAGACAAGTTATATAGTCATATGACCATGATTACACTTGTATATCATTTTTGTCTGTTTTATCTATTTCTCATTTCATACAGAACTACTTGAAACAGTGGACTTTGTTGCACCTAATGAAAGAGTTGTTTTCAGAACTTGTGAAAGGGAGAGGCACCGTGTTGTCTTTCAAATGGTAAGAAACCAACCGCAGGTACTCTTCTGATAACAACACAGTTAAACAAGGTAGTGCTAGTAACAATCTCTAAAGCAGCTCTCCGTATTGCAGACTATCAATTTCTTGATGCTTCAGTGGATGTAAAATTTCACACCAAACGTGTTGCAGAATTTCTAATCTGTTGGTACACATGCAGTCAAGATGCTACATTATAAGCTCTCTGTACAGGTGTTTTCAGAAGAGGTGATTAAGATGGATTCTGTGCTCTATGACAGCAGCTTGGTTTTGTAATAGGTATCTGATATATTTCCAAACATATAGATACCAAAAATAAATTATGCTGATGTTTTATCACATGTTTAAGTCTTGCACTGTCCAGTAAACAGTCTCGCTGTTTACTGAGAGGAGTAGTGTGTGCATTAATGTAGCACAAATGAATTAAAGGCTTCTGGAGAGAAAAAGGTAGTAATTTGTTCTTTCAGACTACTCTGTGTAGGACAAGAGATGGTGGGAGTTGCGGGGAGGGACAAGTGTGGACTGCATTAGATATTGAAAAAGACCTTTTTCAGCGGTAATGATAGTCCTGGAATAGGTTGCTTGTAGAAGCTGTAGAATTTTTATTAGTGGAGCTTCTTAAGAACATGATAAATAAATATCTAATGGTGATCTAAGAACATTTGATACTGCTGTAAGTTAAGAGGGTGGACAGACCTCTCTGGATTCCTTTTTGTATCACCTTTTGTCTTCAGTGGCTTACTTAGTACGTGCTTTAGCTAAACGTTTTAGCTGTCCATTGTGCTGTGAATAGGTCTCTGTCACTTTGCAGTAAATGTTTAGCAAATACAGTTACACACATGTGCAGGTGAGCACTTTTATTTACAATTTGATGATATTTTATAATTATAATTCGTCTTGTTTTACCAACAGGGTTCAGTAGATGCTGAAAGAGCCCTGGCAGTAGCTAAGCTTGTGTAAGTCATCTTTTCTCACCCCCTTCCCACCATGGGTTTGTTTGGGTGTTTTTGTACAGAGGCGTGATCATGGAAGACAATTTTTTATGGTTGAGAGGACCAAGGTAGGACCAAGAAAAGTTCTGTAGGAGCTGCACAGTAAAGTGTAGCATCTCAAAAGGCCGGTGGTATAATTCTGTAACTGCAACTCCTATTTAAAATAATTCTTGCTCAAAACAGCAGCTGCATAAGTTCTGTACTGAGATTGATGGGTTTTTGCTAGTGCAGTGTGTCCTTGATCTCTCTACAGTATGAAATTTCCCTGGGTATTGCACAGCTGCAAGACAGACCAGTATGCCTGAAAATGTCTCCTATTGTTTCTGGTTTGAAGCCCGCAATAGAATTTTGTGCAGAAATGAAGAGTGTATCTCAAACCTTTTTAAAAGGTGTCTTCAAGCCTCCACTTGAAATAGATGGAAGTTTCAACAGGACTTGCTTTAGTGACAGTGGTGAATTTAGTGATGGATATACTTATATATACTTAATCCTATATAAACATGTTTAAGATGAGTATTTGCAGCTTCTGCACAGCACTGGTCATTGAAACTTGGGGGTAGACTGATCTTCAGACCACTGTTAAAATAAATATGTAACTTATGTAAGCAAGAAGCTAAAAATTCAGAAGTTCACATAAAAACTTAACCTTAAATACTCATTTAAACCTTAATGACGATGGAAGAAGTTTCCTGGAAAGATGTCTGTTTCCTGATTCATGTTCTAATATGCTGAAAAATATTTTAATTATTTCTTTCTTCCCTTTCAGAGAGAGTGATGTAGCTGGTATTGATATCAACATGGGATGCCCAAAAGAATATTCTACTAAGGCAAGTGGATTTTGATTACTCTTAAATAACCTTTCTCTTTCTTAGACGTGTGGAGTGCAGAATACCTGTTATGGTTTTCTGGACTGAAGAAATTCAAGTAATAAAATTTTCATGCAGATAAACTTGGGTATATTTTTTTGTGGTAAACAAAAGAGTCTTGAAGGTGTCATGGCCGTAATATGGTAAAATAATATAGTCTATTAGAAATCTCACTTAAGAATAGGTTTGTTCATGTAATTAAACATAGCATATCCTTAAGTGGGTAAGCATATATGAAGTTTATGAGCTCAGGTTAGCATGAACTTGGACCACTGAGTGAGTGGTGATTGTGTTTTTTGTCAAGACAACTACTGAATATTGAGAAAAATGTAGTGAGGTTGTTAAATTGTATTTTACAAAAAATAACACTGAAGTTATTTAGAATTCTGAAAATTCTGACAGGCTATGTTGTATATTGCACTTAAAAGTAAATTCTGTAAGGCAGGATAAGATAAAGTGGGTTGTTTTCTTTTGTTTTCCTGAGGTCACTAATTTGGTGGATGAGTGAAATATGTTCTTTCTAGCCTTAGAAAAGATAGGAATCACAGTTTGTCATCTGAGCAAGTAAATATTTGCAACTTAGCAATGCTGAGTTCAATTATTGGTCAGTTTTAAGTGGCAGGAGGATAGATCAGTTAAAACTTGATTTTATTTATTTATTTATTTATTTATTTTAGGTAAGCACATGCAATACTAAACCAGTCCTCTATCACAGGTGGCTAAAACAGAGTAGTCAAACTGTTTGCTAGCACTGTTAAGCCAGTTAGTGTATAGATGAAGTATCAGTGAATTAGAGCATGGAGTTCCATTTTGATGTCAGATGTTGATGCAGAATAGATAAGAGAAATTTTGCACTTATTGTCAAAGAAAAAGAACTTCAACTTGGAAGACTTAAAACATCGTTCCAGGGAAGAAGACTGTCTGTTGCATTTAAACTTTCTATCCTCCAGTCTTTGTAGTATTGGCGTTTTTAGCATTTGGAGCAAGTTCTCTGTCCTGTGAAGCTATAATGCTTTATCCTATCCCTTTAAACAGAAAAAACAATATATCCACATAGGCAGTACTTCATTTCCTAATTCCCTGTTACCCGTCTTTACGTCTGGAAGCTCTTTACTGGCCTTTTACTAAAGCAAGAGCACAGATGTAAATGGTAACCTGAAATCTGCCCTAATTCCTAGTACCAGCCTAAGCTTTTATAGAGCTCATATATTTTCTGTTGTCAAACCAAGTTGCCTGTGGACCAAGTAAAACTGGTTTTTTTCCCCCTCTCTGCTTTCACAGTAGGAAAAAACAGAATTCTGTGGGTTTATGTATCTGGCACATAAATATATGGCCAGTTGAAATGAGATATCTGGTGCATGAAAGCAATGTTGTTAAAACGGGGAATAGTAAAGGCCAAAGCTGACACTGCCAAACATGCCTATACCTTGCATGATGCCATGACACTGTACAGATTCTCTTCCACATAAGTATACCGTTCTCCTTTCTCAGTTTTTCAGCCAAGAGAAAAGAATGCTTTGTCTAAATGGATTTATTTTCCATTAATGGAACATGTCTTTTGATAAAACTACTTGAAAAGGAAAAGGGTTTATTTTAGACCATATGGCCTTAAAGAAATAAAAGGACAGACTACATCATGGAGTTTTGGAACAGAAGAACCAAAGGGCCCTAATGACTGTACATAGAGTATATAAGAGAGGGCTGATGTTTTTCCATCTCAAAGATTGCTTTTTCTTTGGAGCATGCGAGGTATGTAAAAATGTTGGACACCTTTCAGGTATCTAGTGTCTTCACTTTAACAGTTCATAGTGTTTCAGCCTAGATCTGATAATGGTCAATGTTGAAAGTACCAGGTGATGGTGCAAGAAGGGCATAGGATGGATCAATTTATAGGGTGATTTTCTGTTTCACTGCTTCTTAGTTTTGTAGGTTGGCTTGCACTCAGAAGAATTTAAGTAGTTATTCTTCAAATATATTCCATCTAACTTGTGAATGATTTTACTCACATACGTTTCTAGGGTTTTTCTGCTTTAATCCCATTAACTTTTTTGTTTCAATGATAACTTATGAAAATGACAAGTTGAGGTATGGTGAAAATAAATATTTCACATTCTTTTAAACTCAAATTTTCATTTCCCCTGTTCTGGAGCCTTTTTATTTATGTATTTAGGTTCTGTTGTTTCTGAACTTCCTCTGTTTTTCTGCCAGATGGCTTTTGAGATGAAGTGGTATTACCAAGGCACTGTAGTCATGTTAAGGACATGTCATTAAATTCGTAATGGTCTGATGATATTTCGAGTATTGTTTTCTTCAGCCTTTATTACTTCTGTATTATAACTAATTACATGGAAGACTATTTTATCTGTCCACAGAGTCATAATTAAGAACAAAACACCAAAACATCCACCCTGTACTAGGATGAAAGATCAAAAATTCAAATCATAGAATAGTTTGGGTTGGTCATCTAGGTCCAACCCCCCTCCAACGAGCAGGGACATCTTCCACTAGATCAGGTTGCTCAGAGCCCCGTCCAGCCTGACCTTGAGTGTTTCCAGGGATGGGGCCTCCACTGCCCCTCTGGGCAACCTGTGCCAGTGTTTCACCACCCTCATTGTAAAAAATTTCTTCCTTATATCTAGTCTAAATCCCCCCTCTTTTAGTTTAAAACCATTACTCCTTGTCCTGTTGCAACAGGTCCTGCTAAAAAGTCTGTCCCTATCTTTCTTATAAGTCCCCTTTAAGTACTGGAAGGCTGTAGTAAAGTCTTCCTTGAGCCTTCTCTTCTCCAGGCTGACCAACTCCAACTCTCAGTCCTTCCTCATAGGAGAGGTGCTTTCATTTTTGTGGCCCTTCTCTAGACCCGCTCCAACAGGTCCATGTCTTTCCTGTGCTGAGGGCTCCAGAGCTGGTCGCAGTACTCCGGGGGGGTGGGTCTTACCAGAGGGGAGTAGAGGGTCAGGATCACCTCCGTTGACCTGCTGGCCACAAATGCTGGTGAATGGTTATTCTCTGACAGTAGTTTTGGGTCAAAAAACTTCATACAATTTTGAACTTACTTCTTATGTCTACGTATTGGCCTCTAGATCTATGTATGCAGATGAGATAGTGCAGAAAGAACAGCTAAAATATTAAACTGTTTAAGTGTTCATAATTTGTCTTCAATACAGCCACTTAATTTGTCTTAGTGTTTTTCTAAATGTAGTGTGTAGACATAAACTACTGATATCAAGACCTCTCAAACATGGTGTATAATGTTAAAATGATAAATCTGTTCAGCTGTCACTTAATGAGTAGAAACCAGATGATTACAGTTGCTGAAAATGGCTTTTTGAAATCCTGTTTGCTCCATAAAGTAATGGGAGCAAGTTGATGGCCTGAATTAGTGCTTAATTATTCTCATACAATTCTAGGAAATGTATTTCACCAAAGTGTTCACTAATGCTCTTGCATTTTAGATTTTGCCATTTTCTCCTCCCCGCCCCGCCTTCTTCTTCTTAATATAACACTGTACTTTTGCTGTGGTCTGCTATTAGAGTTGAAAAATGTGTTTGCCTAGTGTGTAACAGTTTCTGTATATTTTCCTAGGGAGGTATGGGAGCAGCACTGCTATCTGATCCTGACAAAATAGAGTCTGTAAGTATCACCTTGTGGGTTTTGAACTGCCTTGGCAAGTATTATGTACTGTGCTCTACTGGAAGCAG